CAACAATTTTAAAACTTTCTGTAATTGAATCTTTATAATTTTAATAAAATCTCGGTTAATTATTTTATTCTATTTCCGGTTTTCGATCTCCTTCGGTTTCAGATTTTTCAATGGCTTGAATTTGATCTCCAATATGCAGGCATATGAATTAAGTATATTAACACACGAAAAAGGTATCAACATTTTTAAAAAATTAAGACATGAAAAAGTCATATCATTACACCTTTTGAGCCATATATATAAAAAAGAAACCTACTTTCCAACTCCTCGTGGTCCATAAACTTTGTCGGCCTTAAAGGAAAACGTCGATTACCAGTAACCCTTCTACCCAATCACATACTGAGTTCCCCGATTTCTTTTTGAAAAATGATAATGTATTTTGATACTCTCCGTTTTAAAATGTAAATTGTTTTAGTTATAAACGGATATTAAAAAATTACTTTTTTACTAAAAGTATCATTTAATATATTTCCTCTCTTTAAAATATAAGTTGTTTTACTTAAAAACACGAATATTAAAAAAACTATTTATTTATTAAAAAGTATCATCTAATATATCTAATAAAAATAATTTGACTAATCATATAGACTGTAAAATATTAGTGGTCACACAATATTTAATAAAATTAAAAAGTATATAGTATTGTCCAAATAACTTACATTTTGAAACAAAAAAATAGATAAAACAATTTACATTTAGAAACGGAGGGAATATTTAGTAAAAATATTTTCACCAGTCACACAAAAAACTTACAAAATACTAGTGGTCATACAATATCCAATAAATTTAAAAAGTATAAAGTATCGTTAAAACAACTTATATTTTAAAACAAAAAAAACCTCGCAAACAACGTAAGTTTTGAAACGGAGCGAGTATTTCCATATCGAACCGAATTTTGGGCTAAATTGGGCTGAGATATTGAAATATCATGGGCCTCTAAGCCTATAATAACGGCCCATTTAATTCTCATCAATGTTTTTCAACGCGATCGAAGATTCTCCAACACTTCGCTTACTTCTCATCTTCTCTCGACGATGCAATCGCCATTTCTACACCTCTGCAAAAGCTTCGTTTCTTCGCCGCTTCCATGCCAAAACCAAACTCTATGCTCTGGCTTTCAGAATCCTCTTCGAATCCCTTCAATCCCCAATTTCCGGCGACCGAACAACGACAACGAGAGAAGAAGAATCGTCGCGCAGAGCTACAGACCAAACGACGGAAATAGCCGTCCGGGAAACAAAGAGAAAACGACTCTAAAAGGTAACAAAGAGAATGTATGGAGCGTAGACAACGAAATGGCGGAGAAAGAGAAGCGTAAAGGGAAACCAAAAGGTAGAGGAGGAAGAGGAAAAAGATTAGGTCGAAGAAGAAAGGGTAAATTCGGTAGGGTTTTAGTTTCGGGGACTATGTTAATGGAGACTGAAACTGTTCTTCAAACTCAGGTTTCGATTCGATTTCTCTATTCAATTTCTCAAATTCGTTATGTGTGATTTGTGTAATCGATGGAAATTGTTTCTTAGGAGCCTGTGATAAAGCCAATTTGGAGAACATTTGCGAGTAGTGTAAGTGGGATATGGAAAGGTGTAGGAGCTGTGTTTTCTCCAATTACTGCAGAAATGGAGCCTCTTGAAATTGGGAAGAAGAATGAGAATCTTTATGATTGTTATACACTTTCTCGAATCGAAGCTTTACCTTCTTCTTCTACATCATCTGAGATACAGAGGAAAATCAATTGGGTTACTTTGAATCCTCATGGAGAGTTTTTTCAGAATGCTGAGAGTGAAGAGGTAGACCAGACTGGTGTAGATAGCCTTTTGCCTAAGTTCGAATCTTTTAACTTGAAAGCAAGTGATGTTATGGAAGAGGATTCCATGGGAGACGAGCCTGGACTCGTTTACTTCGAGGTATGGCTCATTGTTCTTGGAACATTTGGTTGATCATCTTTTACATTTAGATGAGCTGATTGATGTTATGATTGTCTTGTCGGTGGCTGAAATTCGGTTTTGTAGAATGTCTAGCCGGTTTCAATCCTCAGTTTTTTTATTTGCTTGATTCGCGCAGGACGGATCGTATTCAAGAGGTCCAGTTAAAATCCCTGTTGGAGAGGACAGCGAATCGAACTATTACCTCACACCGACTTTCAAGTTCGAACAGGTATGTTTACTTTTGTTTTTTGAGTTCTTATTAAGGTTTGATCTTTTCTCGCATTTTATCTGTAAAGAAATGGCTCACTGATCCTTCCTCTTGACCAGTGTCTGGTAAAGGGTTGCCATAAGAGAGTAAGAGTAGTCCACACAATAGAATTCACCAATGGTGGTGCGGATATACAGATAATGAGAGTTGGTGTTTACGAAGAACAGTGGGTTAGTCCTTCAAATTACGAAGACCAAAGGTAACTCCGAACGTAAATCATTTATCATTCTTCTCTCTGTTATCTCAACGACTTCTGATCCTAACGATTGATGTCTCAGTAACAACGACGCACCACTGGAGTTAAAACCGTTCTCACAGAGAAAACGCACACAACCATCAGAACTAACAGGATCATGGAAAGTATTTGAAGTAAGTGCAACTCCAATCTACGGAGTAGAAGAAGACGAAATCGAGTTTACAGGTGAAACCACTCCATATGTGTACCTGTGCACAGAAGCTTTGAAAAGAAGGAACTTACCGGAAACCTCGGTTTCGTTCGGAGATGAAGAGATGGTAGATATGCAAGATGTGTCTGTAATGTGGCTTCCTGGTGGTGTGACCGCTTACGTCGATGTGAAGAAAGATGGAGTCTTGTGTGTTGGAGTTGGATGGTATTCAGATGAAGGAATCAATCTTGTGATGGAGAGAGATTATGGTTTAGATGGGAATCTTAAAGAAGTTAGATCCAAATCTGAAGTTAAGAGACGATGGACCCAAGAACCTAAGTAAAAAAACTATTCTGTTTTCAAGATTCATGTTTACTGTTTAGTACAGGTAAAGTAACATTAGCTTATGTTTGGTAAAAGCTACAAGTGTTTATTTTTAACCGTGTGCTTCATTACACACCACCGTGTATTAGCCGGCGGCGTGAAGTTTCCGCCGGAGAAAGAAAATCAAACCGCCGTGGTCAATTGGGCCTAAAGTATAAGTGGGCTAGTTCATTATGCCCGTTGGGTCTTAATCAATCCCATAACCCTTCCTTAACCAACCAAAAGAAGCTTTTCATATTTCACATTCTGGAAATTATTTTGATAGTTACTTTTTATGTGAGTCTATATCTAAAAGTGGTAATGGAAGGTTACTTTTTATTTTTTGGTTAACATGTCTTCTAAACTAAAGTTTAGAATAATATCGGTAAAACATATATACATAGAAATTGTTATAAAATTTATATGAAAAAGAGAGGATTCATGTGAATATATACATATCTCCACTTGAATTTGAAAGAAGTTAAAGAAAAGAAAGATTGAGAATGGAGAGGGAGACAAAGTGGACACCTACAAGAGAAAAAAACTAAGAAAGACAGAGAAGAGAGATGCCTTAGAAATATCACCATCATTAAATGTGGAAAATTCTTTACGGATTTGATTGAAACTTGTAATCATTGTTGCATGGAATTCATCCCCTATTATATAACCTTTAATATTCCTCTCTTTGTCTCTTTGTTTCATTAACCTATGTAATCATCTTTACCATTATGTACTTAATTATGTCTTTCTTTTGTATACACATTTTCCCTTTCGTTTACATCTTTTTATGTAATATTCGTATTTGCATATAAGTACATGTTAAAATATTATCCTACCATTTTAATATCAAATCATTTGCAAAATGTAAACGTTTCGA